CTCTACACTCACCATATGAAACACAGCAGCATTAAGCTGCTATTTTACGCTGGTAACCTGTGAGAGCGTGGTTCTTCCCCGGTCGAGCCGACCCATTCGTGCTACAACTGTACTATAAATATAGCTGCAGCTTGGCTCTACCACGTAAAAATACATATATACGTACAGAAGGTTTTTTTACATAATATAATTTTTGACTCCTACTGCTAATTGATAGCTGAGTTTCATTTCATGAACCCTATCTCCTAGCGGCAAATTTTTGGGATCTGTACAATTGCCATTTACAACACTTTTCCATTCTATACTGTTAATATCTAAGGCAATTATATCCATATTTTATATCCTTTAACGGTCTATAGGTAATTGTCTTAAGTGGATGTTTGATTCTATTAATACTCGTATTATCCCTTCCCTATTATATTCCCTGTGTTGACCCACATATGGTTCATTGCTGTTGTCTTACTATTGTGACTGTAAATGGAATAGTGAACGTGTTAAGTTCACAAGTTAAAAATGCATGACTACAAGGGTCAGGAATATAAGTTACGAATACGTTATAAAGATTCATAATAGAACAAATTATATCAATCAATGTTTTACCGTGCTCTGTGAAGTGCGTCGGCTAGTTTTACAAACTGTGTGAGATTCATGTAAACAAAAAAAAATTGTAGCTTTTGAACATTAGTTTCCTGTGTATTAAAAACATCTAAAAAACCCCATGGTGTTCCACCTTCACCGCATATTGGCAGGCCCACAGCAACGCTTTCGCACACATCCGCGGCCCTACCAGCGCCGGCCGTCCCATGGCAGCCCCTCCTCAGGGGAGGACCTCTCCTTCCCATTCCCCTTCTTTGGTAAGGTGCATCAGGAATACAAGGTACGCCCCCCGCCAACTGCGTAACAGGCCATGGGGCCAGGAAATTTGAACGCTCAGTAGCACCCGCTTTCCTGACCCCAGCGGTAGATCTAGTCTCTACCGCTGGGGTCAGGAAAGCCGCACCACCACCGCATCAACGGCACAGCCCCGTCAGAGCCATACCAACACTCCTCTTCGTCCGTGACTCCACCTCTTAGGTTAAGGGGAGAGGACACCCCTCTTGCCGCAGCCCACCAACACACATCCGAAGTGGGCTCGCCAAGCCCACTCGGGGTGGCCACTTCAGGGCCCTCCCCCTCCCCGGCACGATAAGGCGGGAACCCGTTCGCTAGGGGGGGGGGGGGGGTTACATATAGACACCTACAGTGAACTTCAAACAAAGAAAGCTACACAGGCTCAGAAGGGCTAGAACCCAGAGCCGTAAAGCCAGTTAAAACAAAAAAGAAAGCTACAGATATGTTGTTATCTAAGATGGAATGCCTCACAGGCTGTAATTATACTAACTCTCTATACCCTCCAGATAGGAATGTAAGCAGAAGTAGAAAGTGTACGCACTGCAGCATGTCGACTGAAATGGGAAATTCGTACCTACCCAGACCCACTCCTAAGCAGAAAAGAGTCCTACTATATACTAAATCCTGTTTAAAAAAATAACGCATTGATACAACATCAAGACTAATATTTAAGTATCGATATTTTTGGGACGAAGTTCTTTATTGGACGATACGGGTTTGGCGGATGGGAGCTAGGCGACAAAAAGTGTAAGATTTTTCGTCACTACCCCTTGCGTCATAGTGTAGACGGCCTTGACGGCGAAATAAGGAAGTGAGATGGAATAATATTCATCGCCCTCGCACTTTTTCTTATCTTGCCATGAAAGAAATATTATTTTATTTCAATGTAATTCATTTATTTGTATTTGTTAATCAATAATATAATACCTACGTTTATCAATAATAATATACTACGCAAGGAACTTCGTTCCAACCGAGTGTTCCACGACACTCACGCGTTTTTTTAATACTTAAACCGGTTAAGGAACACGTTGTGGTTATCTTATAGTGTTAGGATTTTTTACATTCAAAACAGGATAATATCACAGATATCGGTGATCAAATAATTGTTTTATCCAAACCCAACAGAAGTTTATTTCGGCTGCTAAAATCTTTATTTATATAATTTATTAGCGTCTGACAATTTATATATTGCAATTACAATAAACTGCAACGAATGTCATTATAAAACATAAATGGTAAATGTAGTTATAAAAGATCAATTTAAAAAAAATCGCACGTTCTAAAAACTTTAATTTATATAATTTGGATAAAGTAATAAAAACAGCAAAAATGACGCCAACAGCATTCGTGTACACCACATTTTTAGGTGGAGGTTTTTGTATGGAGATTCTAGCAATGTTTAAAACGATATTTCCACAATGATTTCTTCTGCGGTAGAAATGCGCCGGGTGCAACCTAGTCTAATATATAAAAGTTAATGTTTGTTGGTTCATATTTTATTCGCTGCCATGCCGTTCATCAGATTGAGCTAAAATTATCAACCTAACTGGAATGCTTTGTTTTTAATGTACGCATAGTGCTCACTAAGTGTTAATTTAGAGTCAATTTGAGGCACACCCAGGTCTTTAGCTACCGTTTTCCTGTCTAATGACTCTTCGTTAATTTTATAGTTATGTCTGTTTATATCTTTTATTGGTGAACGTTATAATAAACCATTTTTAACATTGAGGTTCATACCGTTAAGCTGGCACCATTCAGATATTGAATCAATATCACCTTGTGGTTTACAGCAGTCAGATAAATCCTGTATTACACGGTATATTTTCATATCATATGCATATAGAAAGCAAGGACTGGACAGTTTCCAAATCAGATCGTTTATGAGAACAATAAAAAATAACGGACCGCGATGTGAACCCTGAGGAACACTGGATTTAACGGTGACAGATGATGACGTGAAACCTGGAATTAATACTTCAAATAAGTATTAATAATATAATATTAATAATACTGAAAATAACTGATAATAATAGCTTAATTTCACAATGTAAAACGTCTTTTAAGCTATTATACTAAAGGTAAAACTAGTATTATGTCATAATACATTCAAACTATACGGATTTGAAATCTTAAAATGTTTTGTTCTCACACAACAATATATATGGGTAACACTATCACTTTTGTGATACAGATTGTAGCTAAAGCCACTGAACTTTAATACTATTACACAAAATAACTCACTGATACTGTTTTGAAATTAAATATTTAACAGAGACATTGTTACTTGTCCGGCAGCGTCATCTGTCTTTCTGGGTTAAAGGATTCACTTACGCCGCCACAACACGGTGAAATTCTGCCACCGATGGGTTATGGTTGCAGCGTGGATAAGCTGGCTTGATCTGGGTGATGCCACACTCTCACAGAATACCAACGAATTGCTGCATAAATCTTGCTGTTTCGTATGATAGTGATGCGGACCGGAGATTCTTTTTACTGGTCACGGGACATTCCATCTTAGGCCTGAGGACTAACAAACAACAACGGGCGACCACGCATCTGAATTTTGATTCGTAAACTAAGAGGTGTGTATGAGGTAAAGCAAAAGTCACTATCATTATCATCATTAGAGCTCTTCACAATACCACTACCTAATATAGGCCTAATATTTTAATTAGTAAACAAGAATAGGTATAGGTGTGTAGCATAATATATACTACGTATATATATTTTATGTGTGTCAAAAATTATGCACACTAAGAGCGATAGTCCACCACCATCGTCACCGGGACGTCAACGAGAATAAGATGACGGCGCTGAGGTAGCGACACATACATTTACTATAGTCGCCTGTCCACCGCAAGTTTTTTACGTGGTAGAGCCATGCTGCAACTATATTAGTAGTATAGTTGTAGCTCGAATGGGTCGGCTCGACCGGGGAAGGACCATGCTCTCACAGAATACCAGCGTAAAATAGCAGCTTAACACTGCTGTGTTTCGTATGGTGAGTGTAGAGAACCGGAGACCCTTTTTACTGGAAAAGAGGCATTCCATCTTAGTCCTCACGGGTGACTGATTCTGCGTTTTGATTCGCAAACGAGGATAAATGTAGATGTATATGGGCCACAGTAACCACTTACCATCAGGTGGACTGTGTGCTCGTTTGTCACCCTATCCTATAAAAAAAGCCATTCATCCCACAGTCATTCCCGCCGTCGAAGTTTCGACCGGCGCGACCGCTAAATCACCCCGATATTGTGACAGGCCGATGTACCGGCAATACAAAACACATTTAAACTTGTCCATACATACCGACGCCGTGACGTCGCACCGCGCCGACGCTCGACCGCTGCTAGTAACTGACTAAGTGACTGAACCACCGAGATCGTCGCGGTGGACAAAGATCGCCGTCACGTCATATTGATCTCGGCCAGAAATTGTTTTATATTATTTAAATTATTTTCGTTGACGTCCCGGTGATGGTGGGGTTGGACAATCGACCTAACAGTGTCCTGTGTAATGCAGCTGTTATCATTCGTAACTCATTATATAATTTATGGTGTAGCCTTTTTACAGTAAACAATGTATAATAATAATATACTTTAACTGGAATGTACCTAAAAACTTATGTCTATTAATTTTAATATTTTTTATAAGACTTATGTGACATACGAACCTACAGCCATCTGATTTTTAGTAGCTACTCCATTCCATAGACATCCGTAACTAACTTCCCCTATAAGACTAAGATAAAATGCCTCCTTAACCTATAATAATACTGACTCTCTATTCCCTTCAAACCCAACACAGCAGCAAAAACTGTTATGTAGCAGCATAAATAGTTAAGAGGGTGGTACTTACCCAAATGAATCGCTGAGCAAAAAAGTAAAAAATAAAAGCGATTTATTATTAAACGATTTTAATATTTCTATAAATCTGCACCACACGCAATGATACTGTTTATCTGAATCATCAAGATAACTGCCAATTTAAAATATAAATGTGAACTATTGACCGTTCACCGAACCATTAACAGCATAATTTAAATCTTAAGTAATAATTTAATGAGTATAAAATTAGTTGTATTTATCAATCATCAATTTTTACATCTAATAACGCACTGGCACAAACTCAACTTCGTCTTTTAGATCTACTGCGTATGTAGTCGCTTCCACAGGCTGCCTTTTGGGTATCACATTGGTCATTAATTCAACTTCTTTATCCGTATCACCTCTGTTGACTCCAACATCTGCGTCTCGATTATCGTTGCTCTGATTATCAATCTCTTCACGACTTTCCGGCTTGAAAATCTCAGGTACTACTGTAGTTATTTTAGTTGTGGTTTCCTCTGTTTCTGGTTTAGACAGCAGGGGGAAGACAATTTTTAGAACACCCTCGTTAAATGTCCAACTGCCATTCACATTCACAATATTTGGAAGCGATCTAATGTCAAGGTAGCTTCTTTCAATGCCGCCCTCAGGTTTTTGTACTGCTTGCACCATAAGAAGACCTTCACGAGCTTTAACAATGATATCTTTTTCCTCGAAGCCAGCTAATGGAATGGTAACTTTATATTCATTTGTTTCAGTATCGATGCCTTCACTGGATACGCTGCTAGGGAATCGCTTCGCGAAATCGACGAGTAATTGATCAAACATAGCCATTTCGCGGGATAGTTCCATCCAGAATCTTCTGGTGTCGAAGATGTCATTGCTGAAATAACGATCGCCTAATCCCACCTCATCTCCGTGCCGGAACGGTGACGGCGGACCGTGGCTGTAGTGATGAGGCGCTGCGCTGGCAGAAGCCAGCAATCCAAGGAGCACAATCTTAAACATTGTTTCAAACCGCAAAGTTACAACTGCGTTGTTTGCAACGCGCTGACGAATATATACACCCGCCGATAGGTCACAGTTTATCACAATCGGTACATTCTGGATGCCGGGCAAACAATAATACGACTGACTGGGAAAGGCCACGTCTCTTCTTGGAAAGTTATAGATTAAACTGGCGTTTTATTTACAATGCTTTATTTGTCAATTGTTTGTATTCTATAAGGAAATCTTTAGCTGTATTTTATAAAAATAAAATTGTTTGTGGCTAAACATTTTTTTTTTATAGAATAAGTGTTACAAGCGAGCACATTATATCCTCGATTAAGAATCAAAATGCACCTGTTATCACCCCTGAGGACTAAGATGGAATACTTCGTATCCAGCAAAAAGGTTCTCCAGATAACTCACCACTCACCATACGAATATACCATACGAAACACAGCAGCGCACTGCTGTCTTCCGTATTAACATTACGCTTTTTTACGCATAAATATTACGCCGGTAATCTGTGAGAGTGTAATCCTTCCCTGGTCGAGCCGACCTATTCGTAATACAACTATAATATAGCTGCAACATGGCTCAACGACGTAAAAAAACGTGTTTCTGTTCTGTAGTTTATGATAATTTTAGTTTATTTAGCTATGTATTAGCACCTGTGCGTAACTTTGTTTGCATGTGATTTTACCAGGTAGAAAACTGTAGAGCTCTTTGCCCATGAATGGGAACGAAAATAAAATCTTAATACCGCCTCTTGCGTAATATATTAATTGCATTTATGTATTTGCGAAATCAGTCAGGTTATAAATTAATTGTATATAAATTAAACCGTGCGGTAATCTATTATTAATCCGTTTAACACATGAAGCGTGAATGGACAATCATTTGACGAAAAACTTTAACGTTTTTATCATTATTTGTGATTTTAACGAGTCCATAAGGGAAAGAAAATAACCGCTCTACATTCACTTTCATAGCTTAAATATTTACACAGGAAGACATTTTAATTAACCGTTGTATATTTGTTTATTTTTTGCAAACGTATTTCCAAATGAATTTAAAAAATATATTATATTTTTTTTACATAAGAGGGGGCAAACGAGCACGCGGCTTACCTTATGGTAAGTGACTACCGCCGCCCATGAATAACACCAGGGGAATCGCAGATGTATTGCCAGCCTTTTAAAAGAAGGCCCTTTTCTGGAAAATCCCTAATTCGTATCGGTCCGGAAAAATCGATTCCACAAGTAAACAGAAACAGAAACCAACTTTTTTATTCAATATAGATTATAAATAATAGTTATTGAAAGTCACTCTTTTGTTTAACTACCACTGGTTCGAAAAAAAAAATCTCTATCCTAGGAAGAAGCAGGAAGAAACCCAGTGGGACATTTTTTTTAAAGAACAGCTTACAATCATGTACGTTACACAATTAACAACACAACATTTGGCTTTGTAGCGATCACCTCATTTCCAGGATTTATTTTCAACGACAAATTTCTTAATATTATAATAACCCTTTTTATACAAACTTAGTTTAATAAAGTTTTTGAACTTTGAGCAGATCAAATTTTGTATATTTTCTGCAATTTTATTGTAAAAGCGTATACATCGCTCCAAGAATGAATTACTGACTCGATGAAGTCAAGTAACTGGTACTACTAGCTTGTGTCTGTTTCTAGTATTTACAGAATGATTATCATTTATTTTTGTAAAACTTGTGTAGTTTTTTTGTACGTACATTACATTTTCATAAATGTATTGAGATCGAATTCAAAGAATTTTTGTCGCAGCGACAGACTTTAAATCATAAATTGCTCTGATGACCCTCTTCTGTAAAACAAATATAATTTCAGTGCCAGTCGCTTGTCCCCATAGCAAAATACCATACGATATTATGCTATGGAAATAGCTAAATTAAACTAATGTAGCTGTTTCAACACTGGTAAGATTTCTTATCTTTTTTACAGCATATGCTGCAGAACTAAGTCTGCTAACTAGTTTTAATATATGGGGGCTCCATTGAAGCTTCGCATCTAGTGTGATTCCAAGAAAACTGGTGGTAACGACAAGGCTCAGTTCTACCCCATTTAAAATTACATTAGTATTTAATTGTTTGACATTTGGAGTCATGAATTTCATACATTAAAGTGTTTTAGTGGTTTTTTTTTTGTGTTACTTAATAATAAGCTTAATTTAAATACAAAATTGAATATACCAACTATGATTAGCGATAAAAATTTAGCGATTAGTGTAAGCAAATTATTAACATTGAACCAATTTACTAATTTAGATATAGCATTATTTACTTCGTCATATTTTAGCAATTGTCGACTTAATTGGAAAATTAAAGAAGTGTCATCAGCAAATAATACTATATCATGGATATATATTATATTATACTATACTACTATGGTAAGTTGCGCCATGAAGAAAACTTCTAGTAAATCGCTTAGCTGTGGACTGCCAATCATCCAGATGGTATGGATGGTATCGTGAGTTAAAGTCTGTTGGAAAAAAAGAGAAGAAAGTAAAGGTGACAAAAAAGCACAGGTTTTTTACATAGCCTTCTTGCAGCTATATTTTTGCAGTGACACAAATGTGTCGATTCAACTTGAAAGGAACATGATCTAACAGAATACCAGCGTGACATAGCAGCTTAATGTTACTGGGTTTCATGTGGTGAGTGTAGAGAACCAAAGACCCTTTTAACTGGAAATGAGTCATTACATCTTAGTCATCAGGGATGACATGGTATCTGTATTTTAATTCTTAATCGAGGATAGATTTAATTGCTCCATAACCCAGAAATGAAAGAAGTCCTGAGAGAGAATAGTATGATAGTTTACTTTATTCCTTTGATTTTTAAAGAAAAAGGAAAACAATATTTAATTCTTGCGACACGCCTCGGCTCCGCCTGAATAGCATCTTTTAATTTGGCGTTATTTTAATATTATTTTTTTTGGATTTTTCCAAAAAAGAAATCATAAATTTTTGGTCAAAATTTAACCTGGTTCCCTCTATCTGTTCGTAAAGTTTTATCACCATAAAAATTTTATAGAAAAACAGACAAACAAACATACAAAAAATTAAAAAAATGTTATTTATGTCTTATAGCATGGAAATAACCCTCTGAGCTCAATAAAAGCAATTTATTTCAATATTACAGACAGACACTTAAATTTTTTATATGTGTAGAATACATGAAAATAAGCTACTGATATGACTGTTTATATAGATATATAAGACTGTTTCCTCAATTATGATAAGAAGTTAAAATGAAAGAATTCCTCGATCTCCCGAGCATCTGGTACAAATAAACTATCTTACTGTCATTGAGTTATATGTACTACGTACTAGAGAAGCCATTCCGAACATTGACTATGTTCAACTGAACTGTAGTGCAATCCATACGAACGAAATATTGCGTAAATTGAAGATTTGTGAATTCCATAAAATAATTATTACTTATTACATTTTATTTAGAAATATGATTGTTTATATTAAATTCTTATATTTATTTTATATTAATATCTTATTTTATATCAAATTAAAGTCTTGGCGCATGCGCGACTACTACTCCCGCGCATGCGCGAAGACATAGAGTAGGACACAATTTTTGTTTGGAATGGCTTCTCTAGTACGTAGTACATATAACTCAATGCTTACTGTAAACAAAACTGTTATCCGAAATGAACTTTGTACGTATTTACAAAGTTGTCTCTCTTGTCTCATCCTTCTTGTCCAATTCATTTTTAAAAAATTGTTTGCTAATTTTTAATTAACAGTTAAAACAACTTATAAATATAGTGAAGTATTTAAAAACTTTAAATATATCACCTTTAATATGGCAAAAGTCGGCCACGGTTCTCCAGGGTCGATGGAGTTTGGAAAAATACAGAGAAGTTTAAAAACGTTCAGTAAAAATCGGTTATTTTTCTTAACGGAATCCATACCCGGAAGTGGTAAGAAGCAGCTGTGAAAAAAGCCAAAAACAGTTTTTAGTGTAAACGTCTTTACTAATAAGCATCCATTACAGCCTTTGAAAGTCCATTGCTAAACATAGGCCTCCCCAATAGGATTTGCCATCTTTGTCACGCTAGGATTTTCTCCTGTATCGTGGTGGGCAGTTTACAAACATAAATTTGCAGAATGGCAAACATCCAGACCTAGAACAATTATTTATAGGCCATACAAATACTTTTTTTAGTACGGTATTCGAACCGGCGACTCTTAGCGCTGCAAATCAATTGCTAAGCCACTGCGTCATAGAGCCGTCAATTTTTATTTTTATTCAGCTGATATCCGTTCAGTTTAGTTTCCCTTTGTCCCTCTTAAGACACCCACAGGATGATATGAAGTAGTGGATATTCTTACATCGCCTCTACACGGTATCGCAATATTAGTACTAAGCATCCATATTTATTACTAGCTGTTCCCCGTGACTTCACCCGCGCGTAATTTATTACGATTGGATTTTATGGGTTTTAATTTTTTGCGCGGAACCCTAATTCTTTTTCTAAAGTAAAAGTAGCCTTCTTATAACATCAGCTATCTGCTAGTGAAATTCCGGTCGAAATCGTTCCAGCCGTTTCGGAGATTAGTCGGAACAAACAGACAGACAGACAGAAAGACAAACAGACAAAAATTTTAAATATCGTGTTTTTGTTAAACTACCGTATATACTTTCATATGCATATAGAAAAACTTTTGCCACTATGTCTGGCGTATGTGGACTATGAGAAAGCCTTTGATGCCGTCGAAATTTGGGCGGTGCTGCAGTCCCTTCAGCGATGCCAAGTTGACTGTCGGTATATCGAAGTGTTGAAGTGCTTGTACAGTAGGGCTACGATGGCTATCCGAGTACAGAACCAGAGTACGAAACCTATCCAATTGCAGAGAGGTGTAAGACAGGGTGACGTCATATCCCCGAAACTCTTCACCGCTGCATTGGAAGACGTTTTCAAGCTTCTGGACTGGAAAGGATACGGTATCAACATCAATGG